CTACATATACAACATCGGTGGTATTGGTCGAGAAGCGAATTTGAAGATACAAAGGTGAATATTAAACAAGAAAATACTTCACTTAATGAAACACATAATATTTCTTTATCACTCGTGGAAAAATACAATAAGAAATCAAGAGAATGCAGCCTTATGGCTCCAATGAGAAAGAAGGTCAAGAATAGCTCCCGAAGTTTCAAGTAATAATGGGTAAATACCGGAAATGGTGCTGGATACATGAGTAGTTTACTTTCCTTCTTATTTATGTTCGACAATAGACCTTATTCATTTCTGCTCTGGTGATCACATTCCCCATAAGAGCTAATGTTAAAATTGTTTTGTTTACATCACTTTTCTTTTTGCGCGTAGGATGGGTTTTTAATGAATAAGGTCTATTGACAGAAATTACTTTTTGTAAAAATAAATCATCAATTAATGTTTTAGTTGGTGGTGGGGTTGAAGATGACAATACCAGACTATGTGACTATAGTAAAATTAATTGTAGTAGCAATGAATGTTGATGCTGTATTTTTCGCTGCTAAGTGGTTATTTTCATTACACGTATTAAAATGTCTGTTTTCACGGAAGGAATTACAAGTTTTCTTGTGGTTTACATGAAAAAGTTAATGGACCACAGAATTTCGCGACTTGAAATTACAATTGAGCATCTTTTATAAAGCAATTATCAGTTCATTCCTCTTTTTATTGTTGACGATTTGTTACATTTTAACTTTTTGGAGTATGTAAGTAAAGATGGTTTATTTAGCTTCAGCGTATAGTTTTTTTTATATAGTTTATAGATTGTTTAAATCAAATATTCATAAAGTTGGGAAAGTTTGAATTTTAACCAACATGCGGGTCAATGTGTAATTACGTATTTTTTCTCTCCACTGGTCATATTGTAGTCAACGTATTGTAACATGGGGTTGCGCGTCCTCCACCTTACTTCGCAGAATAGAGGTGTTGCCAAGCAAAAAAATCGAGCTGTAGCTAACGAATCCTTACGATCCAGACTTGATTGATTGTATAATAGATTTAGAGTAACGAAATCTTGCCACGTAAAGTTAATAATTGATGCACCAAGTGCTATACGACCACTCAATATCAGGGTTTTAAAAGAGAATACAATGAGCATGAATTTGTACAATTTCTACAACATTTAAAAATATCACAATCTGTTCTTTCCAGAAACCAAACAATTGTTATGAAATTTCTGGCACAGCGATCAAATACTCAATATTTTCTAGGATACCATTTAAAAATACGACCTCATTATTTTGTCAGACGTCACGTCCACAGAGTTATCATCAGCCAAAGATTACTTGCGTCACGTCTGGAACAAAAATGAAATTGTCTGGGTATGGCATTCGTTAGGTTATTTAAAAAAAAATGCCGTAATTATTTCGCAAATACATTTAGATAGAAGGGTGATAAAAAAAATTATAATAATATTAACCGTAACCTTCCAGAAATAATCTCCATGTAATATCGTACGACATTGCCACAAAATAATCGTTTTCTCGATATTCGAAATTCTATTACCACTTTGTTTAGTTTTATACAGCTGAATGTGACGTGTTTTAGTGCGATAAAGGTTTGAGGAATGTACATTTAACGCGTTTGTTTAATGTTAATTCAGTATCATTATACAATCACTGTGACAAGAATTCTTAAACGGATTATTACGTCAAAACAAGTTAGATTTCTAACATGATCAAGTCTAGGAAATGAACAAGGAACGAATTGTTCCTAACCACTATACTTTTATCTCGGCAATCAACTATCAGCACTTATAAATAATCGGTTTCCTAAATGAAGCGTTTTATCGTATACGATGTAACACTGGTTCATTACGTGCAAAACATACTCAAAGTCTATATTAATAACGACTGAAAATAGCCCAAGTTAAATTGATGGAATATTGAGTTGGTGGGCAGTGGAAAGATTAAGAAATTGTTGTTCTCTTCGTCCTGATATTTATGTTGAAAATGTCAAATTCGTTCCTGCTTAATATTGTGTTAATATTGAGTTCGGAGGAAAATACAAGGTAAAAACTGGCATTGAAATTATATTACGTCAAATCTTTGACTCAGATAATATCGTACGACGCTATTATCACAAAATAATACTTTTGTACAGTATATTGAAAATTAACAAATAACAATCAATCCGTCACCCAAACTGTTGCTGAGTATTCACACACAATGAAAAAAACATGTTTCATCCACAACCCACTCAGAAGAAAAACGGCTATACGTCAGAATTGCATTTTCTATAAATATAATAAAAATGTCAAGGGTTCACTGCTGAAGTTTGGCGAACAAAAAACAAGATGGCGTTGATTCAGAATTTTCTTATGAACCGATAATTTACTATTCAATTCGATTAGAATATTCGATTCAAAATGCCCAGCCTTATCTATTAAGTGATGTTTATGATTTATGTACATTGACACAATGTCTATTCTGTCTCATGACTAGGTTTGATAAACACGATTTGAGTTTGGTAGCAATATCTAAAATCGAAGAGACATCGAAAAAATCGTACAGTCAATAGATTAATATTTTTTTGAGGTAAATTTGTAATCAGCTAATTATTTTTGAAGTAAAAAAATCTGAAAAATTTCTCTATTGAGATTTGAAGTAAAGTGCAAATAGATTGCACACGCAAATATAAACTTATTTGGAGACGAAGAATAAAATGTTTTAAACAAATTACATTATAGAATGCGGTTTAACAAAGTTTGAAGGTACAGACGTTCATTGAAAATATGTTTATGCGATTGTGGTAATGGTGAATCATTTTGACGTCTTCCATACACATAGCTAAACTTAAAGTCTAAACACATTTCATAAACAGGACTAAAAAACGTTACCGAAAAAACTGATGAGGGTTCTATATTTATCTCGGTATTAATTTAAAAGTATTATATTCATTAACGAATAGAAAACGCATTTCTGTCGCTCGGAGTGTTTATTAAAATGAAAAACCTTTCAACTATACATATAAGTTTATTAAAATTCTGTTGATGAGATTGTAAGAATGGCGGATCAGTTGACGTCTTCAATACATAAAAACACGTACACACTAAACATATTTTTATAAACAACACTAAGAAACGTTACAGTAATAGATGAAGGGCTTTTAATCATCTCGGTCATATATATTCTTTCTTGGCAAAAATTGTTATTAATATTACTGGTTGAAAGCTGGATTTTTATTTACAAAGCTGTTCACATTGAAATAGTTAATTTTTTTTAGTGTTCATTATATACATCAAAGTTGTTTCTAGCGGTCGTCAGAGTTCAATTTTATTCAAAAATTTGTTGCCCAATCCTATATTGTCTAGATGCATTGACCAATTGTTGTCATTATCGATGAAAAGTAAAAAGAATTTATATTCAACATTTTTTATAACTCTCTTCATTATTAATACTTCTTTGTTGAATTAATAAATACTTAATCAACGCGCATTGAAAAGTGCAGGTAACGTCTCATTAGCTGTTGCTATCAACGTACAAACATTTTCTTTTTGACATATGTTGTACTCAATTCTGCCCAGAGGAAAATTTGCAAAACAGACAGAAAGCGCAGAAAACATATAGATGTAATTGTTATATCCAGAAAGAAAGATACCAGGTTATTACATAAGTTCTGCACAAAGTTGTACAAGGTTGCTTGGACACACAACACATAGCTCAATGTGATGACTATTTTATTCACGTGGGTATTAGTCGCGAAATGGGTCTGTGAATTGTTTTGCTAAATCTTTGTTACTCTTTGTGTAATTGTAGTTAATGAAAAACGAAAATTTTTTTTCAGCGAATCGTCAAATTTGTTTCATTTTTTTTCGTATTCAAAAAAAGAAAGGGACCACAATGCTATTAAATTCATTTTACTTTTCTTTTTTTACTATCTCCAATGAGTATAGAAAAACGATCATAATGATCTTCTGATTTTATTATGGAAAGAAATCAAGTAAAATCTATATAACTAGTGCTAAATTCAAAATATCTATATTTTTCAAATATTTGTGACATATTGTAACCCGTTTTTGATTGTAACTCACGTCATGATCAAATGGAATAGAATTTATCTATTTTAAGTTCTTTCAACTGTTTTTTATTTTTATTTTGTTAAATACACCACAGATGAAACATTTGAGTTTATTGCTTAAAATAAGAATTTTTGAATTCAGTTTTTAGTGTCCCCTCTCAAGAATTTAGCAGCCGGAACTGATTGAAGTTATATTAAGAATAAAAGTTAAACTAGATTTATGTAATTCTTAAATGTGTAGGGAGTGTAAAAATGCCAAGGTTCGCATTCAAAAACGCTTTCACAAAATCCAAACAACCTATCACCATAGTTTGAATAAAGATTACTCATTAAATTACTCATATCTTAGGAATCGCGTTGTTGAGGTTAGGTATTTCATTTTATTTTTTTCTTGTAACTGTCATCTTATTACTGATAAAAATAGATGAAATATTGGATAATTTGAATGACATTTTCATTCAATGAATGATTCCGAATCTTATTCGTGAATGTACACCACATAAGCATTATTTCAAGCCACATAAAGTTATGTTGGTTGTTGCGCAGTTTGTTTCTAAAATACACTGAAGTAAGCTATATGATAGAATAAGTTCTCTCGTTTGCAGTTCAATGTGGTCAACGAGCTATGTAAAAAGTCAAATATAGAGAGAATATTTCATTGCGATGTTGTCTTAGTTCGCTTCTTACCTTGTGGGCACGTTATTTAATATTAGATGGCAGGATAGGCCTCTTTTTAGTCAAAAATAAACCAAGAGGGCGTTTCAATAAAAATCCATTTTTGTCCTGTACCAGAAACTACTTCTATACAATTCGTTTATAGAAATGCTCTTAGGTAAAAATTAAAGAAACATTGACGGATGTTATTATTACACTGTTATGCACATTGAAAAATGAGCTAACTAATTATTGTCTTTTTCCAAAGTTAATTCTTATTTTTATCTGAACATCCGTTTTCAACAAGACAAGAGGATGATAAAGATATTTGTTGGAATCTTTCTGATGGCAGGAGTTCAATCACATAATTGGAATAACATGCGAGAATTCGTTCCTTCAGAATTCTTTAATAAATTTGATGAACAGGCATGTATTTATTATTTAACAAAAATATATCTCAAACAGAATAGAAGAATCAAAATGTAAAGCTATATTTTTCATTGCAGGTTTCCCACACTGAGGCATTGGAATTTGATTTCCCCGAAGATAAAAACTTTGTTTACGGCAAATATTCTAAATGCGCGCCGTTCAGGTAAATAGCTAATTATTTAATTTTTAGCCGAATTTTTGTCAAATTGAAAATGAAAAATAAAAGGTATGTCTATTTTGTAACAAACAATCTGGCAGATTGCCCACAATAAAAACATCAGATCTAAGATTTCGGTTTGTTTAATAGAACAGATTTGTTTTCACATTTGGTCTAAAATTTTGTATTCGTTATACGGAGAAGTTTGGAGATGGTGACAGGTTTCACAAGTTTATAAAACTTGGCCCTGATGTACATTCAATCCCTAGTTTCTGATAAATATGATGACTCTGAGTTCTGTAAAATTTAATATTAATGAATATTTCTCGGTAGCACTTATAATCTGTGTCTGAAAATTACTATTTCACCATTATATAAAGTATTTCTACAGTTATTCATCAGGACCAGATGAAGTATGCCAAATAAAAAAGGGAACAGGTAAGAAAACGTATTGCAAAGACAAAAAATGCTCTTACATTGTTCGTTATGGATCGACTAAATGTAACAAAATGGTTGAACTGTACAGGCCGATCAATATTGTCACGGAGGAATGCAAGTGAGTTTTACTACGTACAATGTGCTTTCATGTCCTTATTAAGAATATGCAAGATAACAAATTTATATCTTACTATATATATATATGATATGTAAAATAGACACGAGTCGTACTCTATCTAATGCAAACATTACACGACCACGAATAGATTATGGTATTATTGATTTTTGTGTATATCGATTTGTAGGTTCCAAACGACGATTAAATCTGGGCGTACACGTGCCAATTTTCAATTCCTAAGCAATGTTAAGAGATTTGAATTTGAATCATCTCCATAACACCACTTTTCATAGGAATAGCGCTAACAAGACAGAAAACTCTTTTTATGAATTTATTTTGAAGTAATCGCTATGCCAAGTAGTAAGAAAAACTGGCTGTTTGGTATGCACCAGAAGTTGTTTCTACAAACATAATTTGTATAAATTGACTGATACATTTTTATTCTTGAAGGCCTTTTCAAAATTCGTGTGGCCAGCTGGGCAAATATTACGATCCAAATAATATGATGCCAGAACTTTACCCCAATACTGGATCTAATCCGCGTGGCACCTCAAATAGAAGAATTGAATGCGAATGTCAGACTATTTGGTGCGTTGGTGAAACGTTGACGATTTATAAAGAAAATGGAAGACTGTACAAAGGAGATGTAACAATTAAGGTAAAGAAATATCCCAACTGTGAATTATTCTTATATTTTACTTATGTTGTAAGTTTGGATTATTTCAGTTAAAGTATGCTGAGTTCAGTTTTCTGCAAAAATATGTATTCTCAACATTTACGACAGACGTTTTTGATTATTTTTATTGTATGAGTTTTTCTGAAGTAATTTTAAAATTTTGGTCAACAAGTACATTATAGATTAAAAGCCAATAGCGATTTTTTTAGGTTGGAATAAAAAACGTCGTAAAATTTTTGATATTCTTCATCTGTGCATTATATTTGCAGAAACCATGCAAATGCGATTGCAGAAAAAAAGTGACCAGATCGACTTATTAGAAATGAATAAAAAGGGAGAATGTTGCTGATATGTTAAATTGTTCATTGTTGAAAATATGTACAATTTCTTGCATGTGTAATAAATGAATGTATAAAAGAATGAGTATCTCAAAAATCATTACAAAGGCAATATAGATAGAAAGAAACAATTTCTTAATCTTTCCACTGCCCACCAACTCAATATTCGATCAATTTAGCTTTGGCTATTTTCAGTCGTTATTAATATAAACTTAAAGTATGTTTTGCACATAATGAACCAGTGTTACCGATTATTTATAAGTGCTGATAGTTGATTGCCGAGATAAAAGTATAGTGGTTAGGAACAATTAGTTCCTTGTTCATTTCTTAGACTTGATCATGTAAGAAATGTCAAACTTGTTTTGATGTAATAAACCGTTTTAGAATTCTTGTCACAGTGACTTGTATGCTTATACTAGATCCACATTCGAGTAATTATACACACAAATATACGCGTTAAATGTACATTCCTTGAACCTTTATCACACTAAACAACGAGACATTCAGCTGTATGGAACTAAACAATGTGGTTATAAAATTTCGAATATCGAGAAAACGATTATTTTGTGGCAAGGTCGTACGATATTACCTAAAAAATATTCCTGATAGGTTTTGGTAAAATAATATTATAATTTTTTTTATCATCCTACTATCTAAATGTATTTGTCAAAAATTTACAGCATGCACTAATGCTATACCCAGACAGTTTCAATTTTGTTACAGACGTGACGCAAGTAATCTTTGGCTGATGATAACTCTGTGGACGTGACGTCTGACAATATAATGATCTTAAGAGCCTGTAATTTCTTACGCGAAAATGGACTATAGTGACACATATTGATCTCTAGCAATTTTAATAGGTTTGTGGCGCACCTGAAAATGTGACTGTGGCCCAGCAGTAGGAGTATGAGTTTTTGGAATGTGATGTGATCATGGATAAATCTGACCGATCTCAGGTTTATTTCTATTTAAAACAGAAATTTTTACATATTCGTTGAAAAATATGATTTTGCTATACTCTCATAATAAATCGCCGCAAAAGTATATTATTTTAAACTTTGCGTTTCAAGAAAATTAAATAAAATCAAACGCTCTTTTTTAACCCGTAGCTTTCATTCTGTTTTTTGTTTATAATGTTTTTGTTAAGTTTTATATTTGCATTTTTATTTGTTTATGTACTGAGTGATATTTGCATCTTGCATCAGCATCCTAAAATTTCCCCAAAACATACTTCATATATCTAAAGCAAATGTGCGTATTTTACATGCATGATATATACCTGACATGGGCAAACTACGGCCCGCGGGCCAAATCCGGCACATTGTGTAATTCGGTCTGGCCCGCCTGATGATGCCACATTCAAACCAAAACCTAATTTTCATGTTTTAGGTAAAAATAGCTCAAAGGATTTGTTAATATGCGATTAAATTCATTTTTGGCACGAGGCTTATTGTTTTCCACTTTTGCTTTTGTAACACTGTAATATTGTTCATAAAAGGTACGTCACCCTCACATGGCCCGCCAGTCCAAGTGGGCACAATTTTTTGCCCCGATACAACTTGATGTAAAGTAGGCGAACAAAATTAGTTACCTCCATATTGGTACACACACTTCTGGAGCGCACTTTATAATGCTAACAAACATGTTTAATTAATAATACATAGGTACGCCAGTAAAAGGAGACCAAGAGCCAACTGTTGCAAAATCAGACGCTGTGTATTTAATTTCGTCTTCTACAAATCATGCGAATCAAAATAATGAGAATTATTGCAAAAAGTTTGAAAAATTCCAATCAGCATATTCTCAGCATTATTCTCGGAATGCTTTTGACAATCTCAATAATTCTTATAGCAAGATTGGCACACTTGAAACCGATGGCTCAACCCTGTGGCATTTCAGAGTCAAATGTTTAAACCTGTTTTGTCGACGATATATAACCGATCTGACTGAGCTAATGTATTTCATTTTGTGGTTGGTGATAAAATAAGCTTGCATATGACAAATATTGAAAAGTATATATGCGAACGTTAAATTTAAAGCTCCATACAATTCAAGATGTTCCAGTGTTTGAAGATTTTTCTTTTGTCATGTTTAAAATTGAACGCCATAAACGCCAAATATATAATAAATAAACGGAACTACAGCAGTGCTTGAAACACATATTTTTCATTTGTGCGCGACGCGGGAAAATGAAAGAGTGTGGTGAACGATTGGACGAGACAGAAAAGTAAAAGGGGACTTTAGGCTCAGGGTCATAGTTCAAGTTTATTGGTCACGAAATGGATCGTTTGTCATTTTTATTGCTTATTCTCACCTCATAAAAAAACTCGCTTTTTCCATTGACTACTGGACCAATTATAGTTTACAGGGGTTAAAGATTGTATATTTCGCGAGAAGGCTGTTAGTTTTATTTATTTCAAAAATTGTTGTGGGCTCCTTTCGTTTTTGATGTGTCATCAAAATAAAAATTGTGCACCTTGTGGCGGCTCCGCGTTCGCAATCTCGCGGTCTGGCGAAGTCGTTAAGGCTGCATGACCGATAGACTATGTGACAAATTGCATATCCGCACTACTTCGTTTTGGCCTACGTGCCCATAAATTTGAACAACGCTTTCTCGTTTTATAGCTTTTCATGTCTGAATAATAGTCGGGATTTAATTTGCAGCTTCCGTGGGGTCGTAATCAAAATTGTGAGTGTATCAGAGTCTAAAATTTGTAATCGATTTTGAAATTCTCAATTTATATTGAAAGGTCTTGCAAATGCTTAAGTTTTCTTTGATTAAATTATTACCGCGTCAAATCGAGCCGGAAGTTTTTGACTCGTTTTGAAGATGAAATATTTATTCCGATTCCACAGCTCTTACACGTAGAACTGAATTTCTATGAATACGTACATAATTGCTCATTCTGGTATTCTGAATGGGAATGTTGTGTCGGGAATCAATCCTACTTCCTCGTTGGCTTCATTCAGTTTCAAATTCTATTAATTCCATTCTTTTGCATTGTAACGGATAACGTCAGGTGGTTTCGATCAGACAGTGGTTTATGTTTTCACGTGTAGGAAGTGCATATTGTACAAACATAATTCTATGATGAATCATACTAAGGGGAAAAGTCACACATAGAATAATTACAAAAGCCGGACTTACGTTACAGAAATAGAATTGTGTTAGTTTGCAGCAAGACTTGAATCAGATAGAATAGTCATCTTTACTCCTGCTACAGCATTCTTTCATTATACGCATACGGATCCACTTGTACAAAGGCAGAAAGCCAGGAAAGGTAGTACGTTTCGCGTAACCCCGACTGGTAGTTACTCTCTGTGGCTAATGTGGTTACTCCGCGCTAATTTCGGGGATAAATCAATGAGTTTACCCGATATGAACTATAAACTCTCATATCATAAATGTGTATTCAGATAAAATGTAAAGACGAATTAATTTACATCATTAAATCCTAATGGTTTGAAAGTTGTAAAATTTAACGTTTATTCGCCTATGTCGATTTTGACCGAATAGGGCATTTTCAGTAAAAAACTTTGTTCCTATTTTTCAATATTATTTTTATTTCGATTCAGAGTAGGCCCACGTAATTCATTTCAAATACGGCGCTGCAATAGGTAAGACTACCACCGTATAATGGGTAATATTATTTCATTATTTATAGAAATACATCACTAAGGTCCAAAACTGCTGAACACATTGACATAATGACAATTGATATTTTTGGAATTTGCATCAATTCGATATTGGTTGTTTTGATGGTCTACAATCACTATTCACCAAATTTTTATGTTCGTACGGAAAGGCTTATACAAAAGAAAGATCCGAAACTTGAGCGAAGTTTTGAAGGCCTCGAATCTACCAGTTATTATGAATGTCACTCTCATTCTTGCAGGATTGTTTGCTATAGCAGTGATCATGGGTTGTATTGTACAGAATATCTTGATGATAGAACGGCAGCACTGCAACGACGTATGCATATTTAACGATACGGAAATAATATCTAAATGTGTTATATGTGAGAAATGTAATCATACAGTCCCTCGAATATTTTTCACCCTACATGATAGCGTCGTCGTTTTATACATTTGCTTTACAACATCTATCTACATGGTATTGTGGTTTCGCCAAACGATGTTCATCACGGAAAGAACTTTGAAGAAACTGTCGTCCGAATGTTTGAAAAAATTTAGTTTGTTGCAGGGATTGTTCATAATAATTTTTGCTATTGTCGACGGAATAATTTGGATATTTCACTTGCTATATTTAGACTTCATTCTGATATTGTTAATAGAGATTCAATTTGAAGTACAGATTGGATTGCTTACTCTTTTTCTGATTCCTTTAATTAAGCACCAACGTAGCTTGAAGTATTTGCATCAGAATCACAGACCTCCTGATCATCTTGTAAGATTAATGAAGCGATCTATCGCAGCAGCCATTGTTGCGATTATAACAGACATGGTATTATTAGGAATTGCACTTCGTTATGAAATCTATTTTTTGCCTGAGAATATTTTGATCAATATGTGTTGTGTTTTATGCTGTTTTGCCGGTTGGAAAACAAAATTTTTACCTTGTATTGTGTTATGTAAAAGGGAGAGCGAGAGGGCTGACCAAGTTCCCCCAAATGATAACATACGTGAGGAAATAGTGTAAATCATATTATAACCCCTGTTTTCGTTTTGCTTTTATTGGTGGACATTAATTGTGAACAATTTCTATTAATTTAAATTGGAGTCACTTTTTTCTGTAATTATTGAACTATTTTGAGATCGAATAAAACATTTTGCAAACAGATTTGTGAGTAGGATCGGGGTTTACGGTTCGGCTTTGTCAAGGGTTCAGTTTGATATCGATGAATAACTTGGTTATATCACCATTATAAGCATTATATTGTAGAACAGATACCTACACGATGTCTGAGATGTCATAGTCAAAGTAAAGTTATTTTTCCAAACTTTTTGCAAATCGCATTCAAATTACGAGAAATAAAAAGGTACACCCGCGGTTTTAATAGGGATGAAAACCTTACGAACAAGCCGATTTTCGAGCTAATCAGATAAC